TCGTTATATATTCTGGTAATTAAACCTCTATCAGATGTGTCGCTGGTGAAGATTTTCTCCCATTCTGTAGGTTTTCTGTTTGTTTCCTTGGTTGTCTCCTTTGATGTACAGAAGCTTTTTAGATTAATTAGGTCCCATTTGTTAATTCTTGCCCTTGTTTCCTGAGCAATTAATGTCAGATTTAGAAAATCCTTTCCTACACCTGTATCTTGTAGGTTTTTCCCAATGTTTTCTTCTAATAGTTTCAGAATTTCAGGCTTTACATTGAGCCATTTGGAATTGACTTTTGTGTAGGGTGAAAGATAGGGGTTTAGTTTCATTCTTCTACAGGTGGAGATCCAGTTTTGCCAGCACTATTTGCTGAACATGCTGTCTTTCCTCCAGTGAATATACTTGGCCCCTTTGTCAAATATGAAGTGGCTAAAATTGCATTTACTCATATTTGGGTCTTCAATTTTGTTCCATTGATCTATGGGTCTATATTTGTGTCAGTACCATGTTGTTTTTAGGACTATAGCTCTGTAATACAGCTTAAAATCTGGTATAGTAATCCCCCCCCACCCCCGGCATTGCTCTTAGTGCTCAGGGTTGTTTTGCCTATTCAAGGTCTTTTATGCTTCCATATGAATCTTAGGATAGTTTTTTCCAATTCTGTGAAAAATGTCATGGGGATTTTGATTGGCATTGCATTGAATATATAAATGACTTTTGGTAGGATGTTCATTTTCATAATTTTAATTCTTCCAATCCATGAGCATGGGAGGTCCTTCCATCTTCTGATGTCTTCCTCAATCTCTTTCTTTAAAAATTTAAAATTTTCATTGTAGAGCTCTTTAATGTCTTTGGTCAGGTTTATTCCAAGATTTTTTTTTCCAGCTATTGTGAATGGGAGTGTTTCCATGTGCTCTTTCTCTGATTGCTTGCTATTGGTATATAGAAAGGCTACAGACGCAAAGGCTACAGACTTTCGTAGGTTAATTTTGTAACCTGCCACTTTACTGAACATGTTAATAATTTCTAGGAGTTTTCTGATGGAAC